GTGTGATCCACCCGACCGTGACAGTCTGCAATATAAATGTAGTGTACCAGATTTTTTTTAACTTTGGGGTTTTCTGTAGGAAAGAGTCTAGGAAGAGAAGTGCAGACTTCCTTCCCTTGGCCACTCTTCTATGGGCTCACTGTTGTTGTACAGGGACTGAATACGCTGTGACATAGGCAGGGTACCCCAAGAGATGTGATCAAATGCATTCTCTAAATCCATCAAGCAAATGTAAATTGGTTGGGTAAATTGCCCCTGACACCATATCACTGGAATCCACAAACCCCTCCACTGTGATAAAGTGGAGATTCACAGAGGAGAAATTTCTGAACCATTGAGGAAAATATTTAGGTCTTCTTTGCCACATACAATGACTTACACCAGGTTATTGGGGTAATCATTTACATACCGTGTACAGTGATGTTGACTGCATTGCTGAAGTCTCCTGATTCAGATTCACACCAGTACACTGCAGTATCTGACTTTGATGTGTTGATTTTGTATGTAGATCCAGTCATTCTGCTCCAGTTAGAAGAGTTCAGTTGGCCATTATCAGAAAACCACCTCACTCTCCACTTGGCAGAGTTTCCCTCACAGGTCAGTGAGACAGAGTCAGAGGTGAAGTGTTGCACTCTGTCAAGACTCACTGTGAGAGACGCTGCTGAATGAACATCTGAAAACAACATGCAGTGAAGAGTCAAAGCTCAGAGATGTTAAATATTATTTGAATTTATCTGGTATATTTTTTTTACTATGTGCTAATAAGTTATAAGTTAACAAGATGTTCGTTTTGGTCAACCTAAAAATTGTACCCTGGATAAGAATGGCAGCATTGTTATGTGTACAAATAAATAAATCTCAAACAACACTATTCAAAACCTTGAGCCATACCTCATTTCTTAATAGTTTGTAAGGAAAACGGGAAATGGAAACATGCGAACATAAATGAATGTATCATATATAAGACAAGGATTGTGTGTATAAATAAAGTAAAACTTTGGTATTACCACCTTTATTTTTTAACATAACCTGAACTCTCGTAAGCAAAATGTCTTGTAATTTATTTAACTAGTCCTCCGGAATAGTACTTAAAGAAGTTAAAATGATGCCAAACAGACTACCAGTGTCGTAAAAGAATATCTGGATTGAAAAACACACAGCGGTCTCTGTTGGGAACCCTATCAAATTGTTTATTGTATGAAGAATAAACAAGTGCATCTCCGTTATTATCTAACATGCATATATGTATATACACACACCAACACACACACAGGTACGCACGTGGACACAAATACATGTATACATATACACATGCATACATCATCCAATGAGATAAAACACCAGAAGAGCTAAAACAGAATAAAAGTGGTGTCAAAGAGATCCGAAAGCCTTTGAAAATAGATAGGTCGTCAAACTTGATTTGAACATTACAAAAAAAATTACAAGGAAGAGGATTTTATAAAAGAGGGAAGACTGTTGCAGAGTCTCGGAGTGGCGATGGAGGAAGCCCTGTCACCTCTGGATTTTAACTGGGAGCGTGGAACCAGTAAAAGCATCTGACTGGAGGAACGCAGAGTTCGAGTGGGTAGGTAAAGGCTAAGGAGATCTGAAATGTAAGCTGGAGCCAAGCCATGGAGGGCTTTAAAAACAAATAATAAAACCTTGAAATCAATTTGGTATTTAACTGGCAGCCAATGTAAAGCTGTGAGTATCGGAGTAATACTGTCTCTCTTTCTGGTGTCCGTCAGGAGCCTTGTGGTCGCATTTTGAACAAGTTGCAGGCGGAACAGGCTTGATTGACAGACGCGTAAATAAAGAGAGTTACACTATTCAAGATGTGATGAAATGAAGGCATGGATAATGGTTTCCAGATCTTTAGATGACAAGATAGTTTTGAGTTTAGAAATGCTCCTGAGCTGGAAGAAACTGCCACAAACAACTGAATTTCTTTGTTTGTACAGCATCAAAAATGAAAACAAGATTTTTAACATGGGGATGTAGATTACCTGATCGTGGGCCCAAGTCATTTCTTATGAGACTAACAGAGTCTTGGTTGCCAAAAATTCTAATGTCACTTTTGTCATGGTTTAATTTGAGAAAGTTCAAAGACAACCAGCAATTTATGTCACTAAGACAATCTGAAGCTTTCTGCAATGTGCTATCAATGCCTGGTTTTAAAGAGAGATGTGTATCATCTGCATTAGAGTGATAGGAAATTTGGTGTTTCTGAAAAATAGAGCCTAATGGGAGCATGTATAGGGAGAATAAAACAGGGCCCAGAATAGAGCCCTGAGGTATTCCACAAGCAAGTGTAGCAGGGCAAGAGTATTTCTTTCCCTGCATCACGGAGTATGCTCTGCTCTCTAAGGAAGAGGCAAACCATTTTAGAGCACAACCTTGAATGCCAATTCATGTCTTCAAACAGTTTAATAGGCTTGTGCGGTCAACCGTGTCAAATGCTGCACTCAGGTCTAGAAGAATTAAAACTGTACTTTTTCTAGAGTCACCAGCACATCATTGAACACCTTCAGTAGAGCAGACTCTGTGCTGTGGAAGGCTCAGAAACTAGACTGATATTTATCCAGAATACTATGTGTATCTAAGAATGAGGACAATTGATGGGGGGACAACTTGTCATGGTCCTGGGTCATTATGACCCAGCGTTCTCAGTTTTCTTGTGTTTTTGCATTATTTTTATTTGTTATTTTAAGAATTTATTCTGTGGTGCACATTTCATGTTAAACAAGTTTGTGAATTTTCCATTAAGACTCATCATAAAAACTAAAATAATAAATATATTATCACTACTCGTTTGTTAGATTTTGGACTGTTTGTTATTTATGGCATGCATGTCTCATTGTCTCATTTTTATACAGTCACAAGTAAAAGTAACATCTGTTATGTTTCCAGTCAAAAGTGACCGGGAATATTTCATTTGTGTACATCTGACCCTTGTCTGACTAGTTTCTGCAACCCAGAAACTGCTGGTAAATTCATTTCTGGATCTATACACATCACCCATATATACTTTGGTTTCTTTCTGGGTTACCTCCTTCCAATTCTTTTTGTAAATCTGTTTCCCCTCCAAGTTGGTCATGTTTACCACTGGGTTTGATGGACCCAGTCCAGAATAGTTCAAAGCAGGATTTGATGTCATCAATACAGGACACAATAAATTTTGTTGGTGCTGTGGTCATCCTGATGACATTTTCAGCTGAAAACTAACTTAATTCTCAGGTGGGGATAAGTTCCCATTCTTTTACTTGAATCTGACAGCAAACTCATCACTGGATTCCTCCTGATCAGTCATTTCTTGGTCTGGATTGCACAGATTATGTTCCCTGCCATCTTCAGCTTCTGGCACGTCCTTATCTAATCCATCCTCACTGTCAATTTCCTGGCCTCATTTGTCCTCACTAATGTGGTGATCAAAGAGCCTCACATAGGGTATATCAACCTGCCATGATGTTGCCAAACAGTGACCTTTGAGTAAGACCTCAAAAAAGCATTATACATCAAAGCTACAAGAACAGATCAGTGCTGTTGAAACAATGTTGCAGCTGTCTGTGAGAAATGCCAACACAGGAGTTGTTTCCATGGAAGAGAGGCTCTAGTGGATCGCAATTACCAAAGTGGCCACCAGAGAACCCAAGGTGCTTGTATGTGTGTGTATATATGCGCATGTATGCGTGTGTCTGTCCAACTTTTAAATTGGTGAATTTGACCAGAATGCAACATGAGAATTAAAAATGACAAAAAAGTCTGACTGAAAAATGAGGAGTGGCTCATAACTTTTGGACATTGCTGTATATTAATTTTCTCTTTTTTGCTATCACTGTAATTGATGAAGGAAAGAGTTACAAAACAAGGAACAAGTAAATTCAGTCTGGCTTGATCATAGTCAGAAATGACATAACTTCAGCTCATTGGAATAAACAGAAACAAACTGACCTGCAGACCAGACAAACTTTGGTTGACTGTGATCAGTGTGATACTCTGGGTCTCCTCTTCCAGCTCTGCACACATATCCTGCTGTGTGTGTCTGTTCATGAATGATGTAGGAGTCCTGTGCAGTCCCACTGCCATCAGGTAGCAGCTCATAACTGGAGGATTTCTCTGATAGATCAGGAACAGCTTTATACCAGTAGAAGCTCCATCCTGCAGACGGATGTTCAACCTCACAGTTCAGAGTTACTGAGGCTCCAGGATTCAGCCATGATGGAGACACAGTGAGGACAGGACAGGGTTTATCTGCTTGAAAGACATTTCCCATCATGAAAACACATTACAGTGTGAATATGATATAGTTTATTTTTTCTTAGTCCATTTAACTATCACACTTTTGTAAGTTCATAAATTATTATTTTCCTGTGATCTGCATGATGCTTCTCTCAGACGTACTGATCATAACAACAGATTTACCAGAAAACACAAGACTTCTTATTAGTGTAAAGTTCAGATGCCAGACCTCACAGGAGGGAGATGCACATTAGCTGACAAATTGAAAATCTCGCAAATCACATAATCAATAAAACAAACTTAATCATCAGGTTTTTGCATCTCCACACACACACACACGCACACACATACATTCTTTACATTCTGATTTTCTTCCCATATAAATGAGCTCAGATTCAGCTTAGAGTAATATTTAGTATCAGACCAAATCGGTCGGTCAGTCCGTAATAAACTGGCTCTCTTTAGGGTGTATTATAATCTTAAGATGCAAGCCTCCTGCTTGAGCTGTCTGGAGGTGATTGGGGGGTGCTGAGGATGGTAGTAATAACCAAAGTAACACAGGAACAATATTTTTGATGTTATTCTTCATCATTTATGTGTTTTGTGTTAAACACTTAAAGTCATAGTGAAACAGACAGTGTGTTTCTGTGTGTTGTATTTATTTTGTATGAGATGATAAGGCAGGATGACTTTTATTCTTTTTTTGAGCAAAATCATAATTGTTTTCATAGTTACAGGGAGTTTGAAATTACAAATGGCTAATTTATTTATTTCAATATTGTACTACGTGAGGGAGCAGCATATCAGCATTGCTCTCCGATACCCTCCGTATCCCTCCCTAAAACTCCTCTTAAAAACACAGCAACAAATATCAATACCTCACAAAATGGAACATGGGATGTGGGAGCACACAGAGGCCAGCAGGTGGATGAGAGAAAGGGGAGGCTAGAGGAGAGACCCGAGGCGGCCACCGGTCCGAGTGTCAGGTGAACTGAACTTTAGTTCAGTTCTTACCTTGTGGGAGCACACGGGGAACACAGCTGACATGAATAATCATAACGAGACAGGGGAAGCTAGACTGAATAGAATGAACGTAAAAATATGGGACCTTCACAGTAAAACAAGAAACATGATGAGGGAGTGGAAGAGAGGCAGACAAGATGGAGCGAGGGAACATGAGGGAGAGTACAGACACGATGGGCTGGGGAAACATGAATAAACACGATGGAATAAAAGACGAGGGGCAACAAGGCACAAGAACTCACAATTAAATAAACACTGACACACAGTGGGAGACCGACTATGGAATGTAGCAATTGTCAGCCACTTCCTTTACATGGATGACATCAAGCTGCATGCCAAGAGTGATTCATTGATCTACACCAACAGGATATACAGCAACAACATTGGAATGCCATTCGGACTGGAGAAGTGTAGTTGGATGATAACAAAGAGAGGGAAGGTAGTCAGAACTGTGGGGATCGCATCAAAAGCTACAAGCACCTGGGAATCCCACAGGTAAAACAGAACCATGAAGAGGCATCTAGGAAAGTTGCAACCACCAAGTACCTGCAGTGCGTCAGGCAAGTCCTGTGGAATCAGCTGAACGATAAGAACATAATCTGGGCTGTCATCATCTAAACCCTGCCTGTGATCAGGTAACCTGCCAGGATAATAAGCTGGCCAAAGGCCCCTGCATGGTATGTACCACTGGCAGATAGAAGAAGTGGCTGACTTCCAGAAATCCTACCAGTGGCTGGACAAAGCCGGAATGAAAGACAGCACGGAAGCACTAACCATAGCAGTACAAGAACAAGCTCTGGGCACAAGAGCCATAGAGGCTGGGCTCTATCACACCAGGCAAGACTGCAGGTGCAGGCTGTGTAAAAATGCCCCTGAGACAATCCAGCACATAACAGCAGGGTGCAAGATAAGATAAGATAAGATAAGATAGAACTTTATTAATCCCTCGGGTGGGTTCCTCTGGGAAATTCGACTTCCAAAAAAAGCACAGCAACGACCGAAGTTACAGTTACAGAATTGTTATATATATATATATAACACACACACACACACACACACACACACACACACACACACATATAAATACAGAGACAAATATAAATAAAATATACAAAGGGGATAAATAGAATAAATAGGAATAAAAAATAAAAATACAAGTGAATTGCACATTTCAAGTATTGAGTCTATTGCACTGTTGACTATTTACAAAGTATTGCACAGTGAGGTGAAGAGGCACTACAGCTTAGTTGTTCCCCCCTCCTTTGTCCTCCTGTTTCCCCTCCCTCTCCCCTCCAGAGAGGAGTTAAACAGTCTGATGGCGTGTGGGACAAAGGAGTTTTTAAGTCTGTTAGTTCTTGTCTTGGGGAGAAGCAACCTGTCACTGAACAGACTCTTCTGGTTGTTAATGGCCGTGTGCAGAGGATGCCCAGCATTGTCCATAATGTCCATCAGTTTCTTTAATGTCCTTTTCTCTGCCACTGTCACCAGAGTGTCCAGCTTCATGCCGACCACAGAGCCAGCCTTCCTGATCAGTTTCTCCAGCCTGGATGAGTCCTTCTTTGCTGTGCTGCTCCCCCAGCACACCACAGCATAGAAAAGTACTCCAGCAACCACCGACTGGTAAAACATCCTCAGGAGCTTCCTGCAGATGTTAAAAGACCTCAGAAGATGGGGAAGATGGTAGCAGGCGGGGCATACATGGAACGCCATAACCAAGTGGCCGGCATAGTATACAGAAACATCTGTGCAGAGTATGGCCTGGAAGTCCCGAGGTCAAAATTGCAGACGACCACTAGGGTGGTTGAGAATGACTGAGCTAAGATCTTCCAAATACAGAGGAAAAAATAGTGAACCAACCGGACACAGTAGTGATAGAGAAGCAGAGGTAGATGGCCATAGTGATAGATGTATTGATACCGAAAGGCAACAAGAAGAAGGAACACGAGAAGCTGGAGAAATACAAAGGGCTCAGAGAAGAGCTGGAGAAGATGTGGAGGGTGAAGGTAACAGTGGTCCCAGAGGTATTCGGACCATTCGGTGCACTGACCCCCAAGCTAGGCGATTGGCTCCAGCAGATCCCGGGAACAGCATCGGAGATCTCTGTCCAGAAGAGCGCAGTCCTAGGAACAGCTAAGATACTGCGCAGGACCCTCAAGCTCCCAGGCCTCTGGTAGAGGACCTGAGCTTGAAGGATGACCGCCCACAGAGGCGAGTGGGGATTTTTTTTTTTTTTTAAATACACATTTTAGCTCTTTGGAAAAAAGTAAATAAATTGCAGTGGTTTTAAAATGCTTGTTTCACATAAGAAATATGTTCAAAATTCATACAAAATAAACCCTGTAGACCATTTGCAGACGTCATCAAGTCACTATTTCTCTTTCTAGGATGCCTGATAATCCAATAATCCAGCTGAACAAAGACAACATTAAATCACTTCTTGTAGCTCTATCAGTAACCAAAACAAATAATCAAAGAGAAGCATAAATACAGCAATCTAAAAATAATCAATATGCCTACATTTTTTTTTTTTTTTTTGCAGAACTAGTGTAATCTCAATAGTCTCCTGTTACAGCTGTCTGGAGGTAGTGAAGTTTGTGGTAATAACAACCATAACAATATTTTAGCTTCCCTTCCCCAATTTTCCTCCATCTGCAGCTCTCAATATTCTCACTGAAGCTCCAAATATTATTCTTCATCTTTACGTTTTTGTTTTCATCTCTTCTGCTGATCCAGTTCAGGGTCACAAGATGTTGGACCCTATGCCAGACAGTGGTGCAGTACCCTGTGGGAGGAACTTGGAGAACCCGGAGACAATCCATGAAGAAGCAGGGAGAGCATTCAAACTCCACATAAAAAGATCTCGGCCAGATGCTGAATTTGAAACCAGTGCTAACCACTGAGCCACCATGCAGCTTGTATTTGTCATGGTGAATTAAACAGTGGACTTTTTTCTGTACTGTAAGAGATGGCAGTATTTGCATGAGATGCTAGGCCAAGATGACCTTGTTTTTTTTAATAGAAATTGTAGATTTGTGGTTATTTGTTGAAGGAGTTGAAAAATAATACATTTCCGATCCTGTTTATTTCTGTCATTATTGTCCTCAGATGATGGAGCAGCAGGTCAGCATTGGCGTCTCTATACCAGCTGAAAGTTGATGACACAAAGTGGTGACAAACTGTCTACAATGAGGCTACTATCAGCTGCAGCTCTTTGTCTGACTAACAATGTAACATGCTTTGTAGACCATTGAATTCATCCTGTGCTGACCATTATGACATTTGTCAAATGGAGATCACACAACAAACATGACTTACTTGATGCTGACAATGTGAAGGCTTCACTCCACTCTGTTGAAGAATATGAGTCATCTCTGCGTCGACTCTTACACATGTAGTCTCCACTGCTGGACTCAGAAACTCTGAATGTCACATCATTATTGTGTGTCCACTGTGTGGGTGTCCTGGGTCCTCTCCATTCATACTCCCACTCAGTGGTTTCACCTCCTTCCTGCACCTCACATGTCAGAGTGATCGTCTCACCTCTGAATATCTGAGGCCAGTTGGGTTGTTGTTTTACAACAACTTTATTGGAAACTGTTCACACATATTAACAGTTGAGATACAAACAGAAACATGAAATCAACACAGAAAACTTCACATTGTATGTTTGATAATCATGAGTGAATGTATATTTCAAACTAAATGACTGAACTCACAGGTTATCTCAATGGTGACATCATCACTTCTATCAGTGTAGTAAACTGGGTTTCCTCTTGTTCCTCTGCAGCTGTAGATTCCTCCTTGAGATACTCTGATATCTCTGTTTTGTTGATCTCTGATTTGAACTTCAGAGGTTGTTTGGGTTCGTCTGAACCACTCATATTTCCATCCATCAGAGCTCTGCACAGAGCAGGTCAGTGTCACACTGCCCCCTACTGGTATGATTGTTGTTCCTGCTGTCAGTGTGGCCCTGGGTCTATATGCTGTTATGAAAGAGGAAGAAAAATAAGTATGGTATTCATTATAAAAACATAGGAACATTAAAAACAATACAGTTTATATTTATGTTTATATTTGTAGATCTCTAAATAACCACGGTCTAAATGTTTGTCCATTCTATGGCCCTGAATGTAAACTAATGCTGATTAGTTGGTTTAGATAACAGAAACATCATCACTTTAAACTTCATGAAGCTTTTCATGTTTCTTCTTTTCCTTTAGAAATGTAATTAAATTTAATTTCATCCACGATTGACTCTGTTGTTAAAACTCAATTTGTTAATTTTGTTAATGACAACTTGCAGAGTCTGTGAGTATTGACGCACTGACTTTACACTGGTCCTGGTTAAAGTTCAAGTTTCAATGACAAATTTAATTAAATGTTGTTCAGTTGAGTATTTGAACAGGGATCATACATTTATGCTGTCGGTCACTGAAGACTTACCTAATACAGTTATAGAGACAGTATTACTGTTCTTTTTATCATGTGAGCTCTTCCTGTCACCAATGCACTGATATTCACCACTGTAACCTGTAGATGTAATTTCTAATTTGGAGTCTTTGTTTGGCCTGTAGGAGAAAACTTCTTGACCATCCCTGTTGATTTGGTAATACCAGTCAGTGTCTTCTCCTTCATTCATGTCACATTTGAAGGTAACAAACTCTCCAATGAAAAAACTGGACCAGCTGGGTTCAATAGTTAGCACAGCATCTAGAATCCAACACAACCACACAGTTAACAATCTGAAACACTTCATGTACTATTGAAGGCACAACCTTAGTTTATATTCACAAAATTATGAATAAATAAATAAATAAATAAAAAGAAAAAATGTAAAGTGCTTAAGACTGAAACAGTAGTATGTAAACAGAAGTAAGATAAATGAAAAAGAAACACAAAAAAAGTGAAAAGTGTTTTGTCACCTTGAGCGTGTCCAGTGCAGAGAAGCGTGCAGAGCACTAAAATAAAGACAGAAACTTCAGACATTATCAAAGTAGCGACACTCAAATATGTCTGTGTAGGTTGTCAATCATCATAAAACAGGAAACAGAGGATGACAACACAAGTTTGAAAACATGAACCAGAAGACAGGAAACATAGTAATACATTGCATTTATATAGCGCTTTTCGGGACCCTTCAAAGCACTTTACAATACCACTATTCATTCACTCTCACATTCACACACTGGTGGAGGTAGCTACAGTCGTAGCCACAGCTGCCCTGGGGCAGACTGACAGAGGCGAGGCTGCCATATCGCGCCATCGGCCCCTCTGGCCAGCACCAGTAGGGTAAAGTGTCTTGCCCAAGGACACAACGACCGAGACTGTCTGAGCCGGGGATCGAACCGGCAACGTTGCGATTACAAGACGAACACCCAACTCTTGAGCCACGACCGCCAACATGACAGACTAACACAGAAGACCTAAGTGAAACATAACTTAAATCAACACAACCAAAGGCAACCAGGTACCTACCCCTGGTTTATTATTACTAGTCTTATTGTTTGTGGATCTGTATTTCTAGCTTTAGTTGTTCGTTTGTTTTGTGATTTCTAGTTCTTGGGTTTTGTTCCTGTGCCCCTCATGTTTAGTTCTGTCATAGATAGATAGATAGATAGATAGATAGATAGATAGATAGATCAGAAAGATAGATAGATAAGACAGACAGACAGACAGACAGACAAAACTGTATTTATCTATGTCTACAGAATGTGTGTGCTCTTCATGTTTATTTTCATGTTCCTCCAGTCAGCCGTATCTCATGTCGCAGTTTGTCACTCCTGTGCCTGTGCTTCGTGTTCTCTGTGTTCAGTGTCAAGGTTGTGCTTCTGTGCCTGTCGTGTGTTTCCTGTTTTATTTTGATATCCCCTGTCCTGTGTGCAGTGTGTCTGGTTTTGCTTCCCTTGTGTTGTTAGGTCAGATTTGTCCCGCCTGTGTCGTCACCTGTTCCCCATCCTCTCATTGTCCTGTGTGTCAGTTATACTGCTGAATGTTACAGTTGCTCCAAAAAGGTCACCAAAGGTAGATTCCAGTGTAAACACTGTTCCCACATGGAAAACTGGACTGATGCACCTCCTGCTGTCAGACCTGCAGGGTTTAGGCCTGTGGTGTTCTCCTCTGTCTCATACTGAACAAAAGCTACTTTTTGAAGTGGCACAAGTAATTTGTGTGCCTTCTTATTTGATGCAGCACACCTGATTGTTCTGTAAATAGATTTAAATGGTTATATAAAAAACGCATGAGGCCTTGGCTGCATTTTTAGGTAAATGGTTTTAAAGAACTTTGTTTGCAAAACTTGTGCATAATTTTTAGAAATGTACAATTTCTATTTGCATTTCAAGTTATGAAAATGATTCGTTAAACATGTTTGTGGGTTTTACAGTAAAAAATAGAACTTTTTTCTACTCGGAATTTGAAATTTTTTGTCTGGATTTAGATCAATTGTGCTAATATAGTATACCAAAATGAAAAAACCCCTCAAATTTCAGATATTTGAGGTTGTGCTGGAAATAATGATACCAAACAAAGCAAGATAAACAGTTTTTAAAGGTGAAATATAGAAGTAAAATCAAAAGTAGTCAACAACAGTTGTAATTATACCCTGGACCCCAGAGGGTTAAGTCCTATGTTTCTTTCTGTCATTTGTCATGTCGCACACTCATAATGCTGTGTGTTTCTTTCCTCCCTGTTCCAAGTCTATTCCTAGTTTTCAGTTTCTGGTTTATTTTCTAGTGCTTGAGTTTCTAGTTTTGCTTTGTATTTGGATGAGAAGTTTTCCAGCGTTAAAGCTATCGTTTTGAGTTTACTCCTCTGTTTACGAGTCCTACACTTGGGTCCAACATCCTGCCTGCCACACAGCAAACCATGACAATAAATCTTTCTTAGATAAACTAAACCAGCTCCACACACCGACTCAGATTAGATTAGAGTCAACCATCAAAAAACATAAAAAAAAAAAAACAAGAGTCCTCTGATCACATGACCTGAAATAGTACAAATAACTCATACTCTGTTCTTCTTACTAAAACATGTTTATGGATCAGTATGAATCAAACAATAGAAGTCAGTGATGTACTCACAGAATAGGCCCAGCTCACAGAGCAAAGTGGCTCCCATCCTCACATCCAGCAGTGACACGTCTGAAAACTTCTACAACTTTCTGCAAAGAGAGAGAGTGAAGCAGCAGCACAGCAGATACCAAAGAGCTGTGAAGGAAACAAAGACTTTTTTAACTTCTTCTCTCAGCTTCCTTCCTTTTCAACAGAACTAACACTCTTTAACAAACTCTGACCACCGCATGACGTGTTTATACTTTTTACATTTATTGAAATGTTCATCTGTACTCTACCTCTCATCCTAAAACAGCTTTGATAGTCAGCAAACCATCTAAGAACCACAACTTTATAAACAATTAAGAAAATCGTGGTCATATTGTCGATCGTAGCTCAAGAGTTGGCAGTTTGTCTTGTAATCGGAAGGTTGCTGGTTCGAGCTTGTGTGTGAATGGGTGAATGACTGAATGTAGTGTAAAGCACTTTGGGGTTCTTAGGGATTAAGTAAAGCGCGATACAAATACAGGCCAAAATAGATTGATAGAAGAACAAAGTGTTAACTGATGCTGATAAACAGAGATGTAAATATAAAACTGAAAATACATCTGAACTATGAAATTGTGGTTTGGTGATAAATTCACCCACATGACGTGAGCAAGGTCAAGCTAAACAGAAATAGTGTTGTTAACCAGAAGTGGGCGTGAGGCAAGAGGAAGTCCTTCCCCCTCTCTCAGATTGTATCTCTGTTACTTTAAAAGTGCTGCTGTGTTTATGGTGATGTCAGCTGGGCTGAGTTCATGAGGCTCATGGGTCATGGTTTTGAAATCAAATAAACTTTAAACATGTGACAGAGGTGTAAGTGTGGCATGCTAAATTTGATATTTTGTGCCCACACCAATGTGTCAAAGTTTCACACTTTGTGCTTTATACTTTACAGAAAAAGAGAAAGAAAATGGGGAAAAAAAAATAAAGGTATGATGTTGTTTCACCCGCAGTTACACCTGTTAATTTCTATTTATATTTCTTTATTACTATTATTTTTAAATCGGCAACTACTATACACAGAGCACTTAGCAGTGGGTGTTTCCCCTGTTCACTCTCATGAAACCCTTAAAGAGACAGAAGCTTATGTTGTCTTCAAATAACACCTCCGTTTCACAAGAGATACCACAGAGTGAGATTTATGCAGCACTTTTCTAGTTTTAATGTTAAAAGTTAAAACTATAAGCCACATTTAAAAAGCAGCTTATATTGTACAATTTAGGTATTTTAAATTTCACAGCAATTCTACAATCACAAGATACCCTGAGATGCACATCTGTGGACTTGAAAAGCAACTTGCTATTTTTATGCAGTACAAACATTTGATGCAGATGAGCTAAAAAGCTTCTGTTGAGGAGCTAAATGAAGGCCTTTTATAAATTAGTGAAGCAGAGGCTTAAACACAGTTGATATTTTATCTCAAACTGCCTGGATCAGTCATATCAGATAGATAAGTGCTACATTTATAGTTTTGCAGCAGATAAATCCTGCTTTTAGCAGAACAGAAAGTCTTTGACATGAGTATACTGAGTATTAACAGGACAAGTTTGTCTAATCTAGCTACTGGGAGGAGGGCACCGGCTATGTGTGTATCCATAGTGTTTGCATAGAAGGCCCAGAGTTGTACTGTCCCATGTTTTAAAGTCTGCATATTGCTGAAAGTCGGGTGAGTGGAGTTCAGATTATCATTGTTAACACTTAAATTTTAAATCCTTTCGAAACCTTAATGGACAAAAACTGTACACACACAAAATCTGCCATGAAATCGTCACATAAGAATGTATTTTTGTCTTTATTTCATAAATCACCGAATCAACTTGAGATCTTTTGATCTCGTTTATCAAGCAATAAGATATTTCCATCAATTTTCAGATATTTTAAGCCTTTAAATGACAGTTTAAACATTTAAATTATTTGTTGTTTGTTGAAATGTTTATTTTGCATATAATATCTAGTAAGGGGAAGGACACTCGTGGTGATTAGAGTCTTGGACATGTCAAAGATCAGCAGCAAAACTGACTTAATTGTAATGTCATTGTTTTGTGAAGTGCAATGGAGAATAATGTCCTATTGGCTTCCATTGAAACCACATTTAAATCTCTCTGCCACTGCAGTATAAAACAATGCATTCTGTATTGTCAGCTTTTCATTTTGAAGAAAAGCATTTGATTTTTTTTTCACTATATTCCACCAGATTGAACCTTTTTGCTACTGTAGGCCAATGCATGAAATTCTTGTATATTTGCCAGTTGTCTTAGAGAATTGAGCAATCATGTCTTTGTTCACTGCTGCTGCACATGTATGGTCATGATTGACACTGACTTAAAATAAACTGTAAAACAACACTCATCCCTCAAAAAAAGGCCAAAAGCACATAACAATTTAAGATGATCACCACTGTATTTGCTGTTCCAGCTCCATAAACACAAATGTATTGCAAATTTGTATAGAAAAAAATAGACATGAAATACACGATACATTCAAATCCATACACTATTTGTGAATACTGTATGTACTCTTCATTACTTTGGGGATAATGTAGAAGATCTAATGTTTAAAAATATTCTCATTATATCTGCTGTAACAAAGAAACAGCTGAATTTAAAGCCACATTTTCACACACTACAAATATTACATATAACACTTTTTAAACTTTTTCTTGTTACATGAAATGTTATACAAAAGCTTTAATAAAAAAAATATTCGATTGTAAAGAACATGAATACTTAATGGGAAAAAAAGACAATATTAAGTCTATATTATGGTATTTAATATGATTTCTAACCAACTTATTGTACAATGTTAAGGAGAAAATCACAACCATTTAAAATGAAAACACTGACACAGATAATGTAATCAATGAACCTTTAAGAAAGTTGCCTCACTTAAAATGATGATTTAATGTTTACATTATCAAAATATTCCTACTGATATTTCCATTTTTTCAGTGAGAATTAAAAAAAAAAATATAATATAAAAACAAAACATCGGAGAATCATTTTTAAAACATATTTCAGATGTTTAGTTAAATGTTAAACCTAAACACTTTACTAGGAAACGTTAATGTATATTTTTACCCATCATTTGATGGTCTGTGAATGGTGGGAAATATGTGGGAATGGGATTCACTTGGACAACGAAGATTTTCTTGTAAAACAAAAGGGGGTCTAGAAAAAAAAGTTTGGGAACCACTGAGTTATAGGAAAGGAGATGCTCAAACTACTGTCACTTCTCATAGCTCACCCACTTTCGATAGAAAGAATCGCTGACTTTCCACAAGAAGGAGCCACTGGACCTACAGCACACAGGTCACCCAGCTTCATATAGAG